ATTGCGGTTTACTTAAGCATAAAATTAAATCATATCGCAAATCATGCCTTTTTTGTGTGGAGAGTGGAAAACAATTAGCACCAGTAGAGGTATAGAAACACAAATTGGTTCACAAAAAGTATTGATATTTGATAACTGATCCCTCTAATTTCTTTTTTAATTTCAATGACAGGCGGAGTTGAGAGCATTCTCCGACGTGCATGAACAAGAAGGAACAAAGAAACTACCCTTGTACTTCTACAACATGAATCCTTTTCTGATATTTCCATGCGTGTCAAGCTTCTATATGATGCGATTGCGAGTCACAGATTTTTCCGGTTTTGATGGTACGATAATAGGTTGTCTTCAAAGTGATGTTTACAGGCTACAGCTTGGCTTACTAGTTCAATATATATTTTATGAAATATATATATATATATATTGTGGGCATTTAACAAGATGGCACCATAGAATTAATACTGGACACTTACCACCAATAAAAGCTATTCACTCGGAATTGTTCACTCCATTAGCATTTTTTTTTTTTGAAGTTAAAGGGCCTAAAGCCCATCAGAACAAGAAACAAGTTCAAACAATCCTAATTATGCGAGACCTACCCAATACCCACCAACAAGCTGCTAAAAACAAGAGATTAAGTCCAGAGGAATGAGAATCAAAGAACTTGTGATCTTACAAAACACTGAGTGAGAAGGTGATTCGCGAGCCTATCTGTATAAGAATTTTCTTCTGTTTCGTTTAGACACACCATAGTTTAGGCTGTCATGCCGGAATTCGAGTTATTATATGCTACTATCGGGCAGCATTAATTGCTGCTACAAATTTTTCTGTGCATTTTGCCCTATTATTTTAACGTGATGCTACTAAACATCAATGCTGCTAATTTGTTTTTACGACCTTAAAAAGTTTCTTCGTGTTCTTTGGGTAAGAAACAATCCTAGTATCTGTCGAGTCATATATAATGCACAGTTAATAAAAGCGCTTTTTGAAAGGCACCCATCACCTGGGACAAGTGAGTATAACATCAGGTAATTTATTTTTATTTAAGTCTCCAAATTAATAAAAAGCTTAATTAGAAAGGCATGAACTTTAATAACATGCTCCTGAAAATAAATATTTACCAACGACAACTTGGTAAAAATGTGTTTGTAATTTGTGTTATGGACCAGTTAAACAGGTCTCAATCTTCTCTTCCCACTACATGACATGCACTAAGCATCTCATTCCACCACTCCTTCTCAACTTCTCTCCACTACATATAAAAGAGATGACCTTGAAGATGTTCCACTTGAGGGAGCTAAGTGTGTGTGAGAGAGGGACCAATACATGTTGGGTTTTAAACTTTATTTAGAATAAATGAAAATAGAAAATGAAGAGTTTGTGGTGAAGGGGTGTTCCCTTAAGAATTTGTTAGTGGACATTAATGAGTTTAATGTTTTTAAGAAGTAGTCATTATTATGTTTGGATTTCCTAAGTTGGTCATTAGTATTCATAATCATTTGCTATTGTTTATAAATAGCTCATTGTAATTTTTGTAAGGTGGCTTTGGTAGAATCAGTAATATAATAGAGGTATATTCAGAGAATTGTGTGTGTATCTTGTGTGTGAGAAAAACACCATCAGAGGACCTGTGAATTACAATACAAGCTTACAATTATTCAAAAGTTAAAAAAAGATTGACACTTGTTCGTGGGAACTAGACACTAAACACAAAACCAGAAAAATATTGCAGATAATAATAGTAATAATAATAGCAATGATATACTTTAATAATTAGAAACTAAGAGGGGTTAGAAATCATGAAACGTAGTAGAGCAAGTAAAGGAAAACAACTGAGAAAGATTGAACTAAATGGGTCCTGCGTCTAACAGCGGAATTGGTCATACACCCAAAAAAGAATATTTCACTGAGAATTTGATACATGAATCTCAAACATCTAGAACAAGATGTTGGGCATTTAAGATGAGCTTGGAAATAAAAAAATGGTGACATGCTGTTTCAATCGGGTCACTCTAGTATAGAAAGGTTCAAACTTTGATGCTCAAAACAAAGAAACTAAGTTTTCTAAAGGAAAACCATAGGAGATTTGCAGAAGGGTTTAAGAAATCAAGAGTTGAAGCTCAGCTTAAGTAACATTTCGTGTTCAATTACTCTTTTTCTTGTACTTGATATATCACTATTTGTTATAGTGCATTTTTTTTTTCCCGGCAATAGTGGTTCAGAATTCAGATATTTGCCATGGATATCTCTTAGTGCTCTTTTCTCCTTAAGAGCTAAAACTATCCTATTGTTAAAAAAATACAAAAATTTAATATCGTTAGACAAAATTTTAACAAATATGTTAATGGGAAAAACTACTCTTATGCAACATAAGAGTAGTTGATCTCCTATAGACCCATCTAAAATTGTGACACTCTTTTTACTTTTTTTCTTTTTCTTTTCTTTAAATGATGGGCCCCATCACATATGTGTCTACAATATGAGAGAAGATCTCTCATGTAACATAAGATTAAATGAACCCTATGTTAATTTGTTATCATTATAAACTATCAGGGATTAATTGAAACAATTAAAAGTAGGGGTAGAATATTGTAACAACCAATTAGAGTTACTACCAATCAATTTTATCGTTAGATCGATTATATTGATCCAACGGTTATATTTATTTTCAGCTTTGTATTGGGCAAACGAATTAATATATTATTATTTTAATAAAAATTACGAAAACATAATTGTTTTGAACCATTTTACGAATGTATTGCAGTGGATCTCGTCCAAATAAGGCGAGTTTCCCCTCTGGGACACGCTCAAAAAAGGCGAGATCGATATTGCCTAATTAGGCGAGACCCAGCACCATTCACATTGTGACACATGGCAAAAAAATTTAATAAATTTACCGTAAAACTTCGGATGGTCGTAACTTTTGATTTGAGTGTCAAATCAGATTTTTTTATTCCATATAATTTTTTGAGATCTGTGCAATGACATCTCATTGAAGAGAATTTGCTCACAAATTATTTGTGTTTCTAACCTTTACTATTTCATAGACGCAGATATGTTGTTCACGTTCAAAATTAATTGTAGAAAATTAAAACATTATATTTATTTCCATATATTAGTTATACCATCAATTCCTTTATGGGAATCGATCCATTAATATTTTTTTTCTCTTCTTTTATTACTATTGATCCACCTTTGTATGCTTATGGTTCCCACATGATTTTTTGGTGGGCCAAAAAAATGTGTCATTCACATTCAACCTTAATTGCAGAAAATTAAAAATTATATTTATTTCCATATATTAGTTATATCATCAATTTCCTTATTTATGGAAATCAATCAATTAAGATTCATTTTTTCTCTTTTTTCCTTTATCACCATTGATTCACCCTTTATACGAGTACGATTCTCCACATGATTTTTTGGTGGGAGAAAATTTTTTGTGTAGTTTGCATTCAAAATTAATTCCAGAAAATGAAAATATTATATTCATTTCCATGTATTAGTCATTTCATCAATTCCCTTATTTATGGGAATCAATCAATAAAGATCCATTTTTTTCCTCTCTTCCTTTATCACCTAAGATTAACACCCCAATTAATTTTTGACCAAATCCACTGAAATGAGATATCATTGTGTAGATCTCGAAAAGTTATATGGAATAAAAAAATACCTGATTTGGACACCTGATTCAAAACTTACAGTCTTCCGAAATATTATGGTTAAATTATTAATTTTTTGTGTCACATGTCACAATATGAATGGTGCTAGGTCTCGCTAAAATTAGACAAGAGTGATCTCGCCTAAAAAAGGCGAGTTAAGAAATTCGCCCAAATTGGGCGAGATAGGTCTCGCCTTATTTGGGCGAGACTCACTGCAATAGATTCGTAAAATGGTTCAAAATAATTATATTTTTGTAATTTATTATTAAAATAATAACATATTAATTTCCCCCTTTGTATTGTTATGATTTTCCTTATTTAATGTTAAAGCATTAAATATAGGAAATTATAATCATATAAAGGTGAAAATAAATATAAAGTAATAAATATTGGGAATCATAATCATAAAAAAAATGAAAATAAATATAATCGTTGGATCAACATAATCGATCTTACGGTGAAATTGATTGATAGTATAGGGTGGTAATTTGAAGCATGACCAAAGTTTAAGAGGTAATGAAGTTGTATTTTAGCCTTAAAAAAAAAAGTTGTAAAACGTAAAAAATGTTAATCGTGTAACATGATTAGCGCGCTGCTGAAAGGTGCTGGTTTATGTGATATTTTAGAAATATCATGAATCTTGTAACTGTCATAAGGATAAATGTTAACTGTCAAAACTTATTCCTAAAATAATTAATGCGATTTTTATGTGTATAAAAACGCAATTAAATAGTGGATACTGTTTTCATTCATATTTAGAAGAAGATTGGACGTTTGCTGCGATTTGCATTTCGGACGGTAAACTTAATGGACATGTAACAACCGTTACAGCTGTGATTACAAATTGCATTAATGCATTAATGAATTATAATTATAGTTATAAATAGACATTTGGTCACGCCATTGTAACCGAATTTTTTTTTCTCCCCATCCATCAATGAGTTTACAATTACATTTACGATAGAAAGGAGATTCGTCGGGTACATCAATAAAATTTTATTATACTGATTGATGGGCAATTAATAAGGCCATTTTAATTTATTTTTTTTCCTCCCTACCCATTAATGAAATTGAAAAATATCACATAAATTAACACTTTCCATCTGCGCTGTGCTATTCCATGGGCTTACCCCTACCCGTTTAACCCCTCCCGAACATCTGTTTAACCCCTTCTAAACATGATACTGAGAAGATTCAGACGTATACTCTTATCTCCCCCCTCCTTAGCTCCGATAGGCCATTTGTCTCGTGAGTCTGCGGTGGTCAAAAAGCGGTCGTAGGTTTGTTAATCTCGAATGCTTGTTCGTGCGAGTGGTAGAGAAGGAAGGTGAAGAACCCACTATGAAGAGAGCAAAGCTGAGCGAGAACAATGAAGACAGGCTCAGTGATTTGCCTGATTGCGTTCTAACTCACTTAATGTCGTTTCTGCCAACCCAAGTTGCTGTTCAAACTTGCATCTTGTCGAGGAGATGGAAGGAACTCTGGAAACGTCTTCCTACGCTTATATTACATCAATGGCACTTTCGACACGGGTGCTTGTTCGACAAATTTGTGCCTAAGGTTCTTTCTTTCCGTGATGACTCTGTTCCACTCCACCATCTTGAATTCTATGATGAGGGCCGTTTTACTAGCCATGCTCTGAAAATGGTTTTGAGATATGCTTTATCTTATGATATCCAGCAGTTAAAACTCACTTATAATTGTGATCCTCCTGATTTGCCACCTTCCTTATTTCTGTGTCAGACTTTAACATCCCTTGATCTCACAGTTAACCGCAGACCTCACTTATTTCCAAAATTTCTAAATCTGACAGCTTTAACAAGTTTGCGTCTTCAACACTTCACCTTTGGTGACAGTGAATTGGTGGAGCCATTTTCGTCATGTATTAAGTTGAAGACTTTGGTTATTCACGCTTGTTTTATAAGGTAGTGTTTGGTTGAAGGTTTATTTTAGGATTGATGGGAAAGTGTAGATGGATATTAGAAAATATCACGTTTGGTTCAGGTTTTTTCAAGAAATACCAGGCAAATAGGATAGATGGGAAAATGACTTTTGTGTTGATTTTTGGATGAAATTCACTGTTACAGAATACCATTTGAGATGTGGTATTTTGAGATGACTGGGGAAGTGAAAAAACAGTTGCAAAGTTTCTCCCGAACATAAATTTTGCATATTTAAATAAATTTTCCTGGTAATATTTGGGTCAACCAAACAACTTTTTTTACATTTTCCTATCAAACTCACTTTCCAACCATTTTCCTATCAATTACATTTCCCTAGTAAAATTTTTTTTTTCCCTAACCAAACACTACCTAAAGGATACTCAAATCCTATGCATTTCAAATGCTACCCTTGTCAATTTGACCATAGATGCTTACCAAGCTTACAAAATTATGCTATCAACTCCCAATCTTTGTTCTTTTGCTTTCTCGGGTGTTCCCATTCAGCATATCTCTGCAAGCAATCTTTCTTCTATTAAACAAGTAAATATTTATGTTGATCCATGGGCTGCATTGTGTAACTCGCGTTCAGGTTTTATCCTCTTTAGCTGGCTCCAACTATTTGCTAACGTGAGATCATTGACACTCTATTCAAGTACTCTTCGGGTATCTTCATTTCGTTAAAAGCACGTTATTTCTTGTTTTTCTATTAGGATGCATTTTCTGAGTCAAAATTTTTGCCAGACCTCAATCTTGTCATTTAAAAGATTCTTATGTTAATATGTCTTATTGACCCCTCATTGTGTAGGTTCTCTCCTCCATCCCAGATTTATTGAATACCGAAGCCCCTTGCTTCGGTAACTTGAAGTCATTGATAGTGAAAGTGAAAAACATTTTGCCTCCATATGAAAGGCCAGGATTAGCTTTGAGATACAAGAAACCAGAATTGAAACCTGTACCAGTCAGAGTAGTGGATTACTTGATTCGAAACTCCCCTTTCGCGGAGATCACTATCATAAATTGTGAAGGTGATACGCACATTTAAATCTTTGAATATATATTCATATCTTTCCTTCTTTCTCTGTTTCTCTCCCCCCTCCCTCAACAAATTATCCATGTGTTCCTTGTGATATTTGCTTATGAAAATTGTAGAAAATTTAAGAAAACATCTCTGTGAAAAAATGATTTCCGGAAACATACCTATTGACCTTTTTTATGCCTATATTGGAGTAAAAACTCCCTTGTAATATTTTTAGATATTTTTAGATTGTTAGCGTATTAAGCTGGTGCAGAGCTACAATACGGCACCTCCTGGATTAGTGTTCTTTCACCTTGTAGTTATGTGGTTAAGCCCATGTGGCTTCTATTATAACTTTCAACAGTTATAACTGAGTTTGGTAAGTTGGTTTAGATTGCAGCTTAGTTTGCAAGCTAAATGTATGCCTGTAAATACAAATCCTGTTATTTAGGTTAAGCTGAACTTACTTTGCAAGCTGAACTATCCCTATATAAGTTTGCATATTAGGAACTATGCATTTCTTCCTGCATTGAGCTGAAGACTTTAGTCATTGTCCATTGTGTTATAAGGGCAAATTCACATATCCTTTGCACTTCAAATGCCATGCTTGTCAATTTTACCATATATGCTTCCCCAGTTTATCAGAAAGGTAGGTTTTTACAGAGCAGTATCCACTCCGAATCTTCATTCTTTTGATTTTTCGGGTGTTCCTGCTCAGCAACTTTATACAAGCATTCTGTCTCTTCTTAAAGAAGTAAATATTAACCTTGATGATAAAGCATGTTGCTTGCAGTCAGTTTCGAAGAAGATGCTCACAGGATTGGCATTGATCTGAGTCTGATTGATGTGAGAAAGACGAGGGCAGGACGTTTTGCCTCCACAGAGAGGGCATGTCCTCCGCAGTTAGGAGGGATCGCACAGCAAAAACAATGGCCAGGCCAGACCACCTGATCACCCAATCTTAAGTAAAAAAGAACATAGAGCTCGACTCCCTAGATACAAACCCACTTTCACGAAAAACGTCAATCGAGGAAAGAATATTCAAAAGAAGCTGGACTGGAATGCACTGCCAACAGGCTAAATATTCAAGTTCAGAATATGATTTGTCAATACAATATCCTTTTCAAATTCATAAAGTGTTGGTACAAAGCAGAAGTTCTTCCGCTACCTTGAAGGAAAATAGAAGGCAACTTAGTCTTGATATCGTGAGAAATTTTGATGCATGCTTAATCGTAGGCATCACCTTAAATTTTCAAATCATACTAGGGGGATTCATAATTTGAACAATAATGTGTCATTCATGTTGAGTAAATTGTCGTTGACTCAAATTGTACGGAAGTGAACTTCAAGAGGTGAAATTATAAATAGTAAGCTGTTAATTCTAAATATTTTATGTGTTTTATAGCTCTCTTGTCACTGTAAATTTTTTTTTTGCAGCAACATTAGGATATGGTTTCGGATCATGGTGTTTTTTTTTTTAAAAAAAAAAAGGCAAGTGAGATCCACTTGCTTGTGTCTGTTGCATCCAATAACGTTGCGCAGTCGCTGTAGAAAATTTGCTTCCATATTTTATTCGGGTTCGATATTTTCTACATCTAATAAAAATAGGGGATAAGAAACTCAACCAAATTAAAAACAGCCAAATGACTAAGAGTTAGATGGAGCTTTAATTATTTTTCAATGTACATTATCAATGTGTACTTTTCAACATGCAGAAAATAATACCTTGGACTATCCCAACAAAAAGCTTCATCGAGTTTTTTTTTTTTTTTTTTAATAAAGTTTCGTGTTAAACTTTAGCAGGTGTTGATAACACAACTCTAAAACCGGGTAATTGAGTACGCTCTAGTTATTCGTTCTACTTTTATTTTTCTGTGATTATTACCAACTTAAATGTGAATGGGTCATTACTTTTATTTTTCTTGATTATTACCCACTTTTTTTTTTAAGACCCTCTTACCAACACTAAGTGATTGTTTAAATCATCTTATTTTTTAGTTTTTTATTTTCTCCTTATAAGAAGAAGCTAAGCCAAACAGATTTCAAGAAAAATTCTTTTTTATAATGAAAAAAGAAGAAGTTAAAAGCTAAGAGCTACAGGTAAGAATTTTTTTATAAGCTCTTATCAAGTTTTTTTTTTGAATTGTATATATATATTTTCTTAAATGAAAAGCCATAACTTTTTTTTTGAAATATGTGTTTTTTAAGTAATTGTTAAGCTAAAAAATTTATATAATTACCAAATAATTTTTAACTTCTAAATTAAAAAAGAGACTATCTAAAGGAAGAGAAATTCTCACTCTCTACTCATTTAAAGGAAGAGAAATTCTCACTCTCTACTCAATTTCTTAATCAAGTTAATCAAGTAGTGGAACAATTGAACTTATCTTGCAACACTGGCGGAGTCAGTATTTAATTTTAATTGGGGAAAAAAACTTTGACATATCAAATTATCAAAATAATTTCGTAATTATACAAATCTATTATGAGAAAAATTCACTTAAAATTTTTAAAGTAATATTTTAACAAATAATAAATATTTATTTAAAATTTAAAATATAATGTAAAATTAAATTTGTAAAGAAAGTGCAACTTATATGTATATATACATATATGAAATTTTCATGTGATTTTTATGAACATTTTCATGTGATCTTTATGAACATTATTTCATGTGATGTTAATGAAAATTTATTTTACATGATGTTAATGAAAATTTATTTCATGTGATTTGTGAATAATTTTTTTATCTTTTATATTTTAATTTGGTTTGGGCCTATAAACTTTAGTTTCCAACTTGGTAGGCCTTACAGGTCGTATTAGGTTTTTTAATTTTTTATAATAGATCAGGCCACACCTATAAATCAAGTCTTTAATAGGCTAATAGACCAGTATAGACTCTAAATATTTTACATAGGCTTAGGTTATCAAAGCCAAAATCTAGCCTAACTTGGCCCATTTATACCCCTAGTTGTGATATGTGAAGAACATCAACGTAGAGGGACAACAAACTTCACAATTAAAAAGAAACATGGAACAATCATCGACAAATGTCTAAAATCATTTAAATGACATTGGATCCACATAAATCATTTAAATGATATTGGATTCACATAAATCATTTAATTAGTGTTTAGATATTTTAAAAATTTTAAAAATACAAAAAAAAAAACAAAGAAGTTGTTAATGAATATGTACAATAAATTTTTATACTCCATATATATACATATATCTTCATTTATTTTTCTCTTTAACAATTTCCACTGATTAATCGCCAAAATTCTCATTCCTGTTGTGAAATCAAATACAAATAACACCAAGAAACAATTCAATTCCATTATTAATAGCAACTGTAACTCTACATTAAAATAAACTTTTTTTTAAAAAAAGAAGGTAAATCTGAAACAGCACTCCATTTTTTCAAATTAAATAAAATCAATAAATACAACCACACCAAAAAATTTGTAAATAAAAGAAGGGGCATGAATTTCACTTATGTTAAAAAACACCCAATAAACAATGGGAAAAACTATTCTTATGTCACAATGGGAAAAATCATAAACAATTATGGTCAGTAAACACAAAGAATTTCTCTTTTACAAGGTTCAAAAATATAAATCAATTTTTTCAGAGCGGATGATATAATTACCAATGCATATTCCAAGAACATGTATTCCTAAAATCTTGATAAAGGAACAAAACATCATACCTTGTCGTCGTACCTCGTTGTAGAATGGCTGGGTTACGGGTGGTGAGTGCGAATAAGAAAAAAAAATAGAAGAAAACCCTAATTGAAAAAAGATGGAAGAAGAAGAAGAAATTAAGAAGAAAACAATTTGTTATATGGTCATACACACAAAACAGATTCAAATCTTCGTCTGTTACCATTGTTACAATTTTAGGTAGGGCCAATTTACTATGGTCCAATTATAATTATTTATATAATTATATATACCCGCACTGCCTTGACGAAAATTTGCCGTAGGGAAAAATTTGCTGAATGGCCTTTTGTAGAGGTTCAGTGCTGCAATCTTCTTTTATTTTGCCATTTGATTTGCTACGAATATCTACCCATTTGCTGTGAATATCTACCCATTTGCTGAGCATGTTTCATGTGTCTTGACATGTATGTTCACAGGTCAATGACCTTTTGAATAAGATCTTACTAAGAAAAAGATCAGCGGAATCAGCATATGAAGCTACAAGGAACAATTGAAGCGGAAATTAGTGGACTTGAACAAAAAATGATCCAGGAGCATTGTGGTGTGGAATTGCTCCAACTGCATTAAATTTCAAAGATGTCTAGATGTGACAACTGACAACCCATTTAAAATTAATCATAAACATGTAATTCTTGGAACCTCAATTCTTCTTTCCTGTCTTAATTCGGGTAAGGCTGAAATAGCCTTGATAAATGCAGTCTTAACGAGTCTTTAATTTGCAAAATATTTTATGAAATATTATGATTTCACGAGTAATGAAGATGAGAATACGTATGCAAGGCGTGACATTGTCAGTTTCAAATACTCTATTATACTTTATAAGGCTGTTTCGTATCACGCCTATAGAACTAAGAAGGTGTAGCTTAGCTAACTTTGTGATGAGAATGTGTTCCTTGATCTTCTAGGTAGATATGAAATTTACAATAAATAATTTTATGCCAGGTAATATATGCGAATTGTGCATCATCATGGAAGTGAGTAACTTAAGTATTTGGGACATGTATGAATGCGTTCTACCCCTAAGTGTGAAGTCATGTTAGTTATTGCCGTTTACTTAAGCATAAAATTAAATCATATCGAAAATCATGCCTTTTTTTGTGTGGAGAGTGGGAAACAATTAGCACCAGTAGAGGTATAGAAACACAAATTGGTTCACAAAAGTATTGATATTTGATAACTGATGCCTCTAATTTCTTTTTTAATTTCAATGACAGGCGGAGTTGAGAGCATTCTCCGACGTGCATGAACAAGAAGGAAGCCACCCGGGTGGGGTTCATCTACAGATGATGGGTCAGAATGTGACCGAATGCATTGGTGGGTCGAGGACGGTCACGTTTGATGATCTTAGTGTAGGAAATCTTAGATTTATGCGGAGGCGGTTTAGGATCTAGTACATTGGTATGCTTACCGAATCATCCTTGTTTCACAATTACCTCTCGGTGCGCAGGTCTCGTGTAGAATCTTCCTTTGTAGGATTCCTATTCACGAACAGCTCACCTCAGCGCCGCAGCACGAACAAAGCTGGACTGTGGCAGATCTTCCAAACTATCTCTCGAGGAGGAAGGGGAAGTGTGTGGGCACTGATTAGATTCTGAGTTTGCCTCTTTCTCACAAAAAGACCTCGTTGAGGCTGATGACTTAAGAGGTATTATTTATATGGGTTCCAAGAAACCCTAGCTCATTGGGCTCTAGGTTCCTTGGGCTCTTCTCATACTAATAACCCATTTGGGCTTTAGTAAAAGAGCAAACCCAACAATCTCCCACTTGCTCTTTTGGATACAAACTTGAGTCGTATAACCCAAGATCATGTAACCCATAAGTCATCATCTATCCGAAAAATATCCCATCCCTTATCTCAAGCTAGCTTGGGGATCTACCATCTGTTATTAATCAAGGCTCCTGATAATCAACGAATGATTATCTAATTCGGTGCTACTCCACTAAAAGCCCGAACTTGAACTCCAAGATTAACAACACTTATAACATGAATATGCATCGCCCCTTTGTAGAATGTCTATAATTGATTGACAAGTTTTCTGTAACTCAATCAATTATTTATTCCCTTGACTATGATAGTTTCTCTGATGGATTACATGCACTGGCCAGTGTCTTTAATATCCAAGTACCGAAACATATCAAGGGGACATATCCTACAAATTTCATGTTGTTTATCTCATAAATACCGATAATCAAATAATCTCACTCCCGAAATACCGAGTTATTGGACGTCAATAGATCGAACCTCACCCGTTGGTAAATCAAAGAATGAAAACTATTTGATTACCTATTTATAATAAACTCAGGATTAAGAGCAATCACATAACTATAGTTAACTGGAGATTTGATACCTTATGACAGAAAAACAACCTTAATCAAATCTCTCCTTGATCTTTTCAATGTGAATGTTAATTCACACCAATATTTTACAATGATTCGGACAAAATCATTTCATAAAATATTGCAGCCTGAATAAAGTGCCCAACTTTATTTAACGGCTGTGACTCCATTCATCAATTGTGAGATCCTATTATCATGTCCTCCATGAACGTATCCATATGATCATATACTCCACAATTTGATCCGGACCTTTATGTTTGTAAATAGTGCGCAAAATAAATAAATAAAACCTTATTTATGAAATTCAGAAAATGATTTTATTGTTTCATCGTCTTATTCCAAGAGCACAATAAAACCAATAACTCTCACTTGCTTAATGCAAGTCTGGGATCCTCTTACGACCCAAAGAAGTAACATTCCTCTCGAACACAAGTTCAGGCAAACTCTTAGTAACTGGGTCTGCAAGATCCACCTCTAATGTTATCTGAGTTTAGTGAAAAACTCATAGCTCGAGGTTGATTTTCTTGAGTCAATATCCACTTGAAATAACTGAATTTTTGAAAACTCGGCTTTTCAAGACTCCCACTAGAATATACCAGCATATAATCTCTCGTTCTCCAAAGATACTTGAGTACATGCTTAACAATAATCTAGTATTCCTCTAGGTTCAAAATGGTACTATCTCACTACTCCCACTACGTGACAGATGTCTGGTTTAACGCCCAACATGATATGCGTGAGTCTACCTTTGCCAAAGCATAAGATATCTTGTTCATGCATTCTTCCTTCTTATAAGTCTTTGGTCACTCCTTAGGAAGATGAATTCCACATCTGAGAATTATAATTCTTCTCTTAGAATTCTCATGTTGAATTTTGGGTTTTGTCAATGTAAGTAGCCTGAGGTGATGCCAACAACTTATTCTTCTGGCCTCATAAGAGTTTTATACCAAGAATATAATTGGCTTCCCCAGTACTTCCATACCAAAACGCTAACTTAGCCAACTCTTTATGCTTGATATTACCTCCACATTGTTTCTAATAAGGAGCATATCATCTACATAAAGTACCAGAAAAGCTACTATCTTCCGTTGTATCCTTTACATACAAATACACATCATTCATCAAGGTTATCTCAAAATCAAAATTTTGATAACCTGATCAAAACTGATGTTTCAAGACCTGGATGCTTGCTTAAGTCTATGAAATAGACTTTCACAACTTGCATACCGTGTGTTCCTACTCATTTGCTATAAACCCTTTTGGTTGTTGTATGTAGATATCCTGACATCCAACTCCCAAAATGAAATCTCATAATTGAGACTTATAGCAACTAAGAATCTGGATAGACTCAAGCATGGCGTCTGGCAAAAAATGCCTCCAAGCTAGCTTTGAAGGTTTTCACCTTTCTGTCCATCCTCTCTTTGCCTTTTATGTCCACATGCACCTTGTGGGTTTTACCCCTCTTGGTGTCTTTACTAGGACCGAACGGAGTTGAAATACAAGTATTTCATCTCATTGTTCATAGCCTGAGCAACACTTGATTAACAACATCTTCTAGTGCATTATCGTAACTAGTAGGATCAATATCACTCAACAAGAGACAACTTGAGGGTTAACAAGGTTCTCTCCCACTACGAATGTACTGCACTAGACCTTGTGTATTTATAGGTAAAACAAAGAGTGGGTCAAATGATGGATCTTCAATTTCTTGAGGATCCGCTTATCCTTGATATTGTTCCTTTACATGTGATACTAATATTTCTACTAGTTTCACTTATATATTATCATGTCGAATTTCCAATCATGGTTCTCTTGTTTGTTCACTTAGAGATATATCTATCCCCTCTTGAACAATCAAGGGAACAATGGATGAAGCTTCTAGAGATTCTGGAAATTCTTGATCTGAGATAAATCTCATCAAGAATAACCTAACTTAAGAGCTTATAATTTCTTATCTAGTCCTCCTTCAAGAAAATCATGTGAGTGCTCACTTAGATTATCTTGTCCTTAAGACTAAATAAGAAATCATCCCTAGTTCTCTTAGGGTAGCCAAAAGATATGCACTCTTCCATACAAGATTCCATCTCATTTGACTGTTGTTGTAGGACGTGTTCCGTAGCACCCTAAATTCGAATATGGTTTGATCTGGGCTTGCACCCTTTCCATAATTCTTTAGGTGTCTTTACAACAAACTTTGACGGAATCAAGTTAAGAAGGTACATTTCCTTCTCTTAGGCATCTCCCTTGAACAACATTGACAAAGATGAATAACTGAACATGATCTTCACCAAGTCTAGAAATGTTTGATTTTTGCATACAGCAACTTCATTCAACTAATGCGTTCTTAGAGTTGACAGTTACAAAAACTATCCCCTCTTAAATCAGGTAAGACCTGAACTTACCAGACAGGTAGCCAACACTTTAGTCAGACCAAAGTGTTTTTGATTTGAACCCCTACATGTTTTTCTGCCTCAGACTAAACCTCTTGGAATTTCCAAAAGCTTTAGACTTATGGCGCACTTGGTTCATCTGTCCAAATCCAGAGTAAACATTCATATAATGAAGTACTCATCACCTCTTCTGGTCTGAACACTAATTGGTCCACATACATTAGTATGTACCAGTTCCAGTTGAATAGTTGCGCAAACTTTTTTGGCCCTTGTAGGATTGCTTGGCCACTTTACCTTCCAAATAGGAGTAACATGTAGCTGTTAATTAAAAGATTATTGAACTTTCAGTCCCTCTTTTAACTAAAATATGTTTCCTACTTGAGATAATATGACTCAATCACAAAGGTCAAAGTTATGTTTCATTTGAAACTTTTATTTCTTTGGTGAAAGTTCTTGTTCATCATCATTTCCATTCAACATAACAAATTTAAAAAGGGTATAGGACATAGGTAATAAAGACTATTTAAACAATATACCAGAACAAAACAAGACGAAGATGAACTTAGAAATGTAACTGAGGAATCAATTGCATTGTCAAACCATGTTTTGACCAAAACAACTAACAAAAATTGAATTCCTCTTGAAATCCGGAACAAATAAACAGTCACTCAAAACCATAGTCGTATAAATAACTTGTCCTACTGCAAATGCAGACACAAGTTTCCATTTTCAAGCTTAAAATATCTATGTCCATTGCTGACAGGTATGCCATATTTGAACTACTACAAAGAGTAACAAACATAATTAGTGATTTCTGAATCAATAATTCATTCACTAATCAGGCCTTGATATGCCCATGTCAGGTTCTTTTCATCACCTCTGGGCAATTTGTCTTTCAGTATCCCTTCAGTCTGCACTTGAAGAACTTGCCTTGCGGCTTCTTCATAGCAACTGGTTTGACAACTGATAACCAAGTCATTTTGTTCTTGTTACCACCCTTGGGTTTCCCTTTGGATTTAACAAGACTCTTAGCAAAACCTGCACCGACTGCATTCTGTCTAGCAGAGCTGCTAGACGCAGCAAACATGTCATTAAGAGTCTGAAGCATTTCTGCTCCACTCTTAATCATGTACACTTGCTTCTACAAGTATTTGGAAAGACTGACAATAATATAGTAGCGAACTACCATATCTGCCCTTTCCTAATCTGAGAAATGCATCTTAGTTTCCTAAGACGCATCCTCTGCAAGTTGCTATGGCCCTCGCATTGTCAGAACAAATTTTAGCTTCTATGTTTTAGAACAATATCAAAAAATTTGCTTTTCCCTTATTCATAGTTTGTACCATCTAGAGGTTTTCGACTCAAAATCATTTCTAAGATATTTTCTGAAAAACATATAAAGCACACAATTACAAACAAATAATGCAATAAACAAACGAAGTGCGAGTAGATTCTCATAACTACTCTTGTTTATTGTTAACAATCCTTCAGTTTGTCTTTACAAGGCTTACGATGGGCAAATCACTTGTAAAAATCAAAATTGTTATTTGGGCCTTCAGTGCCATTGCCAGAGCCTCGATGGGAGGGTTAACAATTTTACCAAAGTTGAATGTAATTAACCATTGTTTAATTTCAAAATTATCCTTAGTGTCTAAGCATTGCTG